ACACTTAAATAAGCACCAAGTAAAGAAGGGGCTCATACTCTCCCTTCTTTAGCTTCTTGTAGATCTAAGTCTTCTCAAGATCTGTGGGGACCAGATCCGCGCTTTGTATATCACACTGCTGAGTGAATGAATAAAATCCCAAAGCAATTCAATTCTTACTGAGAAGGCAATGTACCTTGTATGACACTGGACATCATTTTTAGTTGGGCATGTAAAAAAAACAAGCTAAAATAGAACACACTCATGAGGTCATTTAGAAGTTTAAAAATATCTCCAATATTTTTCCCTTATATGTAGTTTTTAAAGGGGAAATATTTTGTTCTAAATGCCCAGTATATTCCTGTAAGTCAATAACAATTTTTCTCTTAGCTTAGAGATTAGATAGGAGATGGGATGTTAGTGGTTAAGGGTATGAAGGATTGTTGACATAAATGTTCAAGTCCATGGGGATGTACCTAGACCATATACTTTGTAGTGACTATCAAAACAATAAAAAATTTTCAAAGAATTTTTATTGTTCAGACTTTCCTATCTCATTGGATTTAGTTTAAAAAAAACCTACAGAAACCACACACATGAAGATCTGTTATAGTAGGTACGTGATTATGTGAAGAATAAAAATCAGTTAAGCACTAAAGCAAGCAAGAGAAAGAAACCTGTGGGCACCTGGCTGGCTCAGTCAGAAGAGCAAGAGGCTCTTAATCTCTGGATTGTGAGTTTGAGTTCCACGCTGGGTGTAAAGATATGATGGATGTGTGTAGAAATTACTTAAAATAATAAAAAAAAACACTTAAAAAAAAAGAAAAAGAAACCTATAATAAGTTTTAAGATGACAAAAACTTCAATAAAAGGAATTGGTTTCTGCAAACAAATTCACCACGTGTAATACAGTTCTACCTAGGGGTGAAAAATGCAGCAATATTTACTTGTTAAAAGCACACAACTTCTATGTAGCAAATATACATGGAGCAAAACCAAACTTTTTTAGGGGGACTAATTTATGAGTTCTCAAGGAAAGCATCTGATTTTTAAAATAGCTCACAATTCACTGCCTCTAGTGAAGAGACATAGAAAATGTGTTGTCTGCTAAGTATGTGCTAACATACTCCATGCCATGAGACATGCCATGCTCTATGAGACAAAAGGAATTTGGTGCCCAGACAAGGTTACACTTGAAATACTATTAATAAGGATCAAGAATTCTCACCAACTTACATCAAGGTCCTCAATCTTTCATAAAGCTGGCCGCAAATTCCATGCAGACACTATCTGTTGTGATCTTTAACAGCTGTATACTTTGACACAAACTTTACTTTATACTGACAAGACTAGTAGTGTAATTTTTTTCCTAGTATTTTCCAAGGCCAGACCTTGGGAAGGCAAGACACAGAATTACCTCCTTCAAAAACTGGAATTTCTAGGTAACAAAACAGCTGATTTAAAAACATACACAGAGACCTCACCCAAAAAAACAAACAAAAAACAAAACAAAACAAAAAAACCAACCAACCAAACAAAAAAACCCAAAAAACCAGAATCAGATTTTTTTCTAGGGAAAGAACAAGCTGAGAAAACCAAGTTTCAAAATTAATGGGCAAAGAAAGAAAATGGTGTTTAAAAATAGCCATTTAACCAAATCAGATTCACTGCTTGTAACAGTAATGTTTTCAATGTGTTAGCTATTGCCAATACAGTTCAAGCTCCTAATTTTACAGGTCCAATGTGGCTTAATGCCTGAGCTAGAACCCAGATTCTTAGGTTCATATCTAATGCTCTATTTCTACTACTAAAGCTACTGCTCTTAGACTTAGGAAGCAAGCCTGATAGACAGCTGGCAAAGCACGGTCACTCAGCAAAGGCTTCTGAGTATTCTGGCAAGGTTCTATGACATTCCATCTTGACCTAAAGCCATTAGATTGGAACATTCTGGAGGGGTCTTCCACAGCCTGCCTATGAAAGGTGTGTGGAATCCAGCTCACCTCAAGGCCAAACCTCATGTAGCTTTGGGCAGAGAGGAACCCAGGTATATCTCTATTCTGTACCCAGAAGATCCCACCTGTGGTTTGTGGATGGAACAATCTGTGCGTCTAGTAAGGACCTTGTGACACAGTCATCACTCAGCCCTTATCTGTGGGGCAACTGTTAGGGCCCCCAATAATATTTGCTACAGTACTTAAGTACTTCTTGTAGTGTAAAGCTCCAAGCAAAATGCTGAACACTCTAACACACATATATATTCATAATTCATGCAATTATACATAACTATACATTGACATACAGAAATAGAAATGTATAAACATACAAAGACATGTTATGTATGGGTCATAGATGTGTAAAGGGTCATTTAACCCTTACCATAATCCTATAAGACAGGCACTACTACACCCATCTGACACATGTGGAAACAGAAGCACAAAGAGTGAGGGATTTGACTAAAATCTCTGGTTATTTTGTGACAAAGCAAATCCTGGAATGGTAACCGTCTGTCTCCAAAGCAAATAATTTTATCTTTCAATGCTCACAAGTGTGCCTTGTGCCATGTAAGGCCCCATCTGTGGGAACAGCAGGTGGAGACCCAATCCACCCTCCCTGGGACATGGGGACCCAAGGCTTGAGTTTCAGTCTCATCATCCTATTTCCTAGCCGGCAATTTAACATTCACATTCCCTCACATCAGGTGAGGTGCCCACCCGCACAGCTGCTGCGAAGGTCAAATGAGGACAACTGACCTGATGGCATCCTAAAAGCACAGGGGGTAAGGCAGTCCCTATCAGAAGTCTAACATCTCAGAAGTCCCCACGTTGGGGGATATTTTTCTTCACCTATAACAAGGCAGTTCAGTAGTGTGGGATGACTAGAATATGTGTGTGTGTGTTTGTGTGTGTGTGTAGGGTTATCTGTATGTGTGTGTATATATATATATATATACACACATATAACATATATACACATACATGTAAACATACACACTTGAATTTTTATTTATTAAAATATTTTTATAGAGGTAGTATATAGTACAAAATTTAAAATGCTGAAAAATATTTCTTCTAACCTCACCACTCAATTTTCTTTGCCAGAGGCAACACCTCCATATACTGCTCAAGGCTACATTATGACAAAATATTTCTACTAACTTGCATTGAGAGTTAGCTGCTTTGAAGGGAACCCTTTGCCTGGGCCAGTAGGTCATATTCTAGAAACTAAGTTACAGCGGGAACAGTCTTCTGTGGGTTGTTTACACTGTTTTTTTGTTTTGTTTTTTAAGTTTAGAAACATTTAGCATGCAATACATGCACTCTAAAAAAAATGAAATCCAAACAGCACAACAACAGAGTAAGAAAGAAGTCTCCTGGGCCACCTGGCTGGCTTAGTCAATAGAACATGTGACTGGATCTCAAGGTTGTGAGTTCGAGTTCCACACTGGGTGTGGAGGTAACTTAAAAACAAAATCTTAAAAAAAAAAAAAGTCACCTCTCATCTACACCAGCTTTCTATTTAACCTTCCAGAAGGTGTTTCCTTCTAGAAATATTTTACGCAAATGCAAGCATATGTTTACAATCGGTCAGTTGGTGTGTGTTCCATTTTGAGGCATGTGGAATGTGGAAATTTTTTTGTGTGTTTTTTTTTGTTTTTGTTTTTGTTTTACCTAATATACACACATTGGAGATTGTCCAGTATGGATTCACTCATTCTTTTTAATGACCATGGAGTATTTCACTGTATGGATATACTACAATTTACTTAACTGGTCCACTCCTGATGGATATTTATGTTGTTTTGTGTCTTTTGCTATTACAATGCTTCAGTAAACATTCTCTCTCAACTGCCTTAATGCACAACAATATATGTTTCTTAATCGGACAGACCAGGGCATGGTTGCAGAACCAATTACTTTTTGGACAAATTACATAGTCTAAGTTCCATTATCTGTAAGATGATAACAAAGATATTTCCTTCATCTGGCTGTATGGATTATGATGATTCTATAAGATGGTATGCTATAGGTGCTTAACATCATGCGTGGCAAATAGCGTGTGTTCAATAAATGTTTGCTCTAGACCAAGATGCTTTTCCTGTTTCCGATGAGGCAGTTTTTGGGTTGTGAAGACTTATACAGGGGAAACATCCACACCTTTGGGATTTGGTTTGCACTTTGGGACATGGAAGCTATGAGTGGATAGGTCCCTGGGAGCATCACTCCCACTCTCAGGGAGGAGGCCATAAACTTCGCCTCTTGATACCTTTCCAAGAGGGGGCAGGTTCTGTGGAATTCCTCCCATGGTAAGTATAAGCTCCGCATCACGGAAAAAACCCTTTGCCCTTTAAGAGGTCTGCAGCCAGGTCAGTCTCCTCCCAGGCAGAAAACAAAGCATGCTCACACGCTCCTGGGCCTGTGCTCCCAGCCTGCATCCTCCTGCTTTCCAGCCCCCAGAAGCCAGCTCCTCCTTCTCCTTCAGGAGCATGCTCTGTCTCCATGACCACTCTTCTTAGGACTCTTGTCCCCAACAATCCACTGTCCCTGCACCACTCTGTGCAGGACCCGTTTTGACATATACTTCTCTCAGAGTTACATACCTATTCTATACGAGAATGCCCACTGCCTCAGTTTCTAAGCGTCTCAAGGATAAGGACACAGAACTTCAAATGTTAGATGTTCCTTGTATCATTCCCCTCCTGCCCCCACCAGATGCCACACATGGAACTAAGCACACAGTATGTACTCAGTAAATATGCAATGACTTGGACTCTGAACAAGAAGTGAACCACCAATGAGTTTATAGTTAAAGTAGAAGGAGTAATTAGCCCTGGGGCCACCTTCTTGCTCGTGTTTGACACAAGGATAAAAAGAGCCCCATTATTTCCATTTTGATCCATAGGCAATTGCTGGGACAAATAGCTCATATGCTTTAGGGAAAATGAGTATAGCAAATCTTCCCTCTCAGCCCCTCTCCACAAGGCTCTCTATAAATTTAAAAGCAACAAACCTACTGGAACTCACCATGAGTTTCTGTGATTTAGCGTGATATAAAACATCCTGGTAGTGCTGGGCGTAGTCTGGGTCCACATTTTTAATCTTAGCAGTTGGTAACAGCAGAGTGTCTAAAGTTTTCAAAGGATTCCCTTCGTCAATAGCTTCATTGATGTGTCCCACAGCTACAATTCCTAGGGGGGGAAAAAGTTTTCTTAAGTCACAGTCCATTTTAAGTTCTCTAGAATCACCTGTGACAAAGATGGAGTTAGAAAGGGGATGGGGACTCCCCACCACATGAACTGTAAGAGCTGATAAATAAGCACGCCACGGCTGGCAGGATACAAGAGCAATGTAGGAAAATCAAGTGTATTTCTCCACACTCACATTGTACAATCTGAAAATGAAAAGGAGGAGAAAATTCCATTTGGAATAGGTTCTGATCACAAACACAGGAATTACTTAAAGAAAACACAGACATAAATTTAATGAAAGAAGAACAAGATATGTTCACTGAAAACTATGAAGCCCCATGTAAAAAAAAATTAAAGATGACCTAAATAAATTGAAAACTCATCCTATGTTCATGGATTGAAAGAGTTAATACTGTTAAGATGGAAATATTCCTCAAACTGATCTATAGATTTGGTGTAATCCCTACTTTTTTCTTTCAAATAGAAATTGGCAAGCTGAATCTAAAATTCCTATGTAAATCCGAGGAGCCAAGAATAACCAATGCAATGTTGAAAAACAACAAAATTGGAGTTTTCTCATTTTGAAAACTTACTAAAAGCTATAGTTAATCAATACTGCATGGCAGTGATTTAAGGACAGATGTACAGATCAATGGAAAAGAATTTAGAGTTCAGAAATAAATCCTTACCCTTATGGTCAATTGATTTTTGACAAGACAACCCAGCAGGTCAGAGGCTTTATAACAAATGGGACACCTGGACATCCATATGCATTAAGAGTGAAGTTGGACCCCCTACAGCACATCATACACAAAAAATAACCCCCAGTGGGTCGCAGACCTAACTGTAGAAGTTTCAACTATATAACACTTAGAAGAAAACATAGTAGTAAATCTTTGTGGCCTAGGTTAGGCAGTAAGTTTAGCTGTGACATCAGAAACACAACTAAAGAAAAAGAGAAATACATGGGATGCTATAAAAATTGAAACTTCTGTGCTTCAAAGTACACCAGAGAAGATGGAGACAATCTACAGAGATTGGGAGAAAATACTTGGAAGCTCTGTATCTGACAAAGACCCGTATACCTTAGATACATGTATACCAAATATAAGAAAATCTTAAAACTGGGCATTGAAAAAAAACCTCAATTTAAAATGAAGACCTTGAACACACACTTCTTGAAAGAAGATTCATAAATGGCTAATAATCACATGAAAAGATACTCAATATTAGCTGTTAGGAAAATGCAAATCCAAATCACAATGCGATAGCACTTCATACCCATTAGGACAGCTATAACAGAAAAGACAAGCAGTAACAAGTGTTGTGAGGATGTGGTGAAACTGAAACTCTCATATGTTGGTGGTAGGAACAGGAAATGGCAGTTCCTTAAAATATTAAACACAGAATTACCATCTGATCCAGCAAGTCTCCTCCTAGGCATATACATTCAAGGGAACTGAAACTGTATGTTCACATAAAAATTATATATCAATGTTTACGGAAATACTTTTAACAGCTAAAAAGTGGAAACAACCTACATATCAACTAATGAACTGATTAATAAAATGTCTATCCATAGAATGGCATATAACCTAACCTAGAAAAGAATATGAAGTATATGGATATCTGATTCAACATGGAAACACTGAAAACATAATGCTAAGACGACAGACATGAAAGGACACACATTACATTATTCTACTCGTACAAAATGTCCATAAGAGGAAAATCCACAGAAACAAAGCAGACTAGTGGTTGCTGAGGATGAGAGGAGAGGGGAAGGGGAGTGACTGCTAATGGGTACCAAGGATCGATTTTGAGTGATGAAGATGTTCTGAATTTATATAGTGGTGATGGTAGTACAGCTTCTTAGATACATAAAAGTCACCACAGAAACACGATAAACAGGTCAATTTTATGATATATGAATGTGGTAGCTTACTACTGACTAGAAGCCTTACCGATAACATAACCAACTAACAAGTATCTTGTATGTTTTTATGTATTACATACTGTACTCTGACAATAAGCTAGAGAAATGAAAATCACACGACAAAATACACTTATAATAATGCGCTGATAAAAAAATCCACATTTAAGTGGGCCTGTGCAATTCAAACCCATATTGTTCAAGGGTCACCTATCTATGCACATACACATACACACACATACACACTCACAGGGGGCTTTTACCTCCCGGGTTAGTGCTGATAGATAAGAACTAGTAAAGAAATGAAACATTAACAAGTGGGGTTTACAAAATAAACATTCTTAAAGCTAAACTTACTGTCATTTTGTTAGCTGTTTTTCAAACACAGAAACACTCTTAACAATAGAGTAAGTACTGTAATTTTTAAGAACTATCTTTATCCTGATGCTCAAATTAAGTTAAATATTTAGCTAAATATCTCCCGGATGGATGACCCACACCTTGCTAAGAATGAAAAGATTTATCTGTAGAAGGAAAGAGACAACTTAAAATGCCCAGAAATTATTCCAGATTATAATACTTAAATGTATTTAAAGAAAAAGCAGAAACAGTTCTCTAATATGAAAGTTACATGATCTTAAAAACACTGGAAGAACTCAGGAAAGTAAATATTACCCACATACAAGGTATTATCATTTTATCCTGTAGGAGTTATACCCAGAGAACATAGACTACTTCATGTCATTCTCTAGACACCAAGTCCCTTTGGTAGACTGTTCTAAATACTTTTAAACACCCCATCCAAAAGTGATCTTAACAAAATTATGTCTGAGAAAGAGAATGTATGTTCCTAATGGCCGATCACCTGGGAATGAGTGCATTCCAGCTGACTTGATTGAAATCACTTGTTTAAGTTTTTGTTTGTTATGTTTCTAAGAATACAAGCCATTGAGGTCATAGTAAATGACCTCATAGGGGCTGAAAGACCTACCCAGAAGACCCCTGGGCACATCTGCATCACTTCCTGTTTATAAGAAAAGGGAAAATCCCACTGCTGAGCCTCAGTCCAGGGCCCACTTCTTTAGTTTTTTGAGAGGAAAAGAGGTTTATTTTTGAGAATATTATTAAACATTCATTAAGCACTAACTATATCCCTAGGAATTTGCTAGGCCATCTGCATAAAAAAAGTAAATAAAAGATGGCTTTTAGAAAAAAGATACTCAATTACTGTGACCAAAATCAAAACACAAGGTACAAGAAGTAGAACAGAGGAATTAGAATGTCTGTTACTTACATAAGATGTCTCCCACATCAACAACACATCCAGAACGGAGCTATTTGTTCTACAACTAATTTTTTTTTTAAGTCTTTCAAGTTTTTATTTAAACTTCAGGTAACTATATAGTGCGATACTGGTTTCAGGAGTAGAATTTAGTGATTCATCTCTTCCATATAACACCCACTGCTCATCATAACAAGTGCCCTCCTTAATGCCCATCACACATTTAATCCATGCCCCTACCTCCCTCCATCAATCCCCAGTTTGTTCTCTATCCTTAAGAGTTTCTTATGGAGGGGCACTTGGGAGGATCAGACGGTGACGCATCTGCCTTCAGCTCAGGTCATGATCTCCAGGTCCTGGGATCTAGCCCCATGTGAGGCTCCCTGTTCAGCAGGGAGTCTGCTTCTCCCTCTGCCCCTCCCCACTGCTCCTGCTCGCTCACTTGCTCTATCTATCTATCTATCTATCTATCTATATGTATATCTGTCTCAAATGAGTAAATAAAATATTTTTTAAAAGTCTCTTATGGAACTGAGAGTTGCTGGAGTAGAGAGCAGTGGGAGGGATGGGGTTGCCAGTTGATGGACGTTGGAAGATATGTGTTGTAGTGAGTGCTGTGTATTGTTTAAGACTGATGAATCACAGACCTGCACCCCTGAAACAAATAATACATTATATGTTAATAATAAAAAATAAATAAAATTTCTAAAAAACCCAGTTTCTTATGGTTTATTTTCCTTTTCCTTTACCCCTTTTCCATATGTTCATCTCTTTTGTTTCTTAAATTCCACATATGAGTGAAATTATATGGAATCTGTCTTTCTCTGTCTTATTTCACTAGCATAACACACTCTAGTTCCATCCAGGTGGTGGCAAATGGCAAGACTTCATTTTTTCTGATGGCTGAGTAATATTCCATTGTTATATGTATATGTATGTTATATATGTATGTTATATATATGTTATATGTATATAACATATATATGTTATATGTTATATGTATATGTATACACACATACATATATATCACATCCTCTTTATTCATCAGGCAATAGACATTTGGGCTCTTTCTGTTATTTGGCTATTGCTGATAATGTTGTTCTAAACATCAAGGTGCATGTCCCCTTTGAATCAGTATTTTTGTATCCTTTGAATGAATACCTAATAGTGTAATTGCTGGGTCATAAGGTATTTCGATTTTTAAATTTCTGAGAAAGTTCCATACTGTTTTCCAGAGTGGCTATACCAGCTTGCATTCCCACCAACAGTCAGCTTTCTCTGCATCCTCACCAACATTTATTGTTTCCTGTGTTAATTTTAGCTGTTCTGACAGGTGTGAGGTGGTATCTCATTGTAGTTTTGATTTGTATTTCCCTGATGATGAGTGAGGATGACCATCTTTTCATGTGTCTGTTGGCCATTTGTATGTCTTCTTTGGAAAAATGTCTATTCATGTCTTCCGCCCATTTCTTGATTGGATTTTTTGTTTTTTGGGTGTTGAGTTTCTTAAGTTCTTTATAGATTTTGGATACTAAGCCTTTGTCAGACATGTCATTTGTAAATATCTTTTCCCATTTCGTACATTGGCTTTTAGTTTTGTTGATTGTTTCCTTCATTGTGCAGAAGCTTTTTATCTTGATGAGGTCCCAATAATTCATTTTTGCTTTTGTTTCTCTTGCCTCTGGAGACTGTGTCTAGTAAAAAGTTGCTATGGCTGATGTCAAAGAGGTTGTTGACTATGTTCTCCTCCAGGATTTTGATGGCTACCTGCCTCAAATTGTTTTT